CCCAACCACTTCCAAGTCTTTGGAAAGAAGGAATACAAACCCTTCGGTTTCCAAGAAATATCACAATCCGGCCGGCGCCAGGATTCGGATCCAAGCGGCCATTGGGGATCCTCCTGAATTCTCCCCGAGCGTCCTCCACTGAACTGCTTGCTTCTCTGTGTCTCCATTGTGTCCCACCTGCTGGTCCTGGGTCTCCGGAGAGAAGGGAGAGGGAAGGGGTGGGGGGAGGGAGGGAGGGAGGGATGGTGTGCCGGCGATCTCTTGAGGGGGAGGGGATGAGGGGGTGAGGGGGGCGAGTTGAGATGAACAACCTAAAAGCAGTTCCAAGTCTCTTTTTGTATTTCGGGAAATATCCCTCTTTTTATATCCCCCTGAGGCGTTGACTCGTTCCCATCTCTCCGAGGGCTCTCTCTGTCGTCTTTTCCCTCCGCTGTCCTTTGAGGCTCCCCTCTCTCTCTCTCTCTCTCTCTGTCTCTCTCACTGCCTCAGCTTTGTCTCTCCCGGCTTGCTCACTCGGTGGGGCTCACTCTTGTCTCGGCACGGCCCATCCTTCCCGGTCAAGCCACTTGTCCCGGCCTCAGCGGAGCTGGATGGAGATGAGTGACCTCACAACTCCCCCGGGGGTGGGGGGCGGCGGGGATTGTTGGGGAATGTAGGAGGGGAGAGGAGGGTTGTTCGAAATGAGGGTCTCTCTCCCTCCCTCCTTCCTTCGGTCACTGTGGCAGTGTGGAGGCTATTTAAGGCCTCTGTCCCAATTCTCCTCCTCCCTACCCACCCCCGCACTTACAACATCTCCCCTCAAATCCCTCCCTCCCTCCGCTCAGCCCCATACACATTGCAAAACACAGAAAGGTCTCACCTCTGTCCACCCAGAAATGTTGTCAATGGAAACTCTGATACTGCTGTGCCTTGGACGGTTGGTACAAGAGTTCGAGAAGGCGAGAGAGAGAGAGGGCAAATAAACATAGTTCTTGTTATCTCCCTCCTAAAGACCGCTTTGTGGCTAAGAACTAGGCTTCTGTCATACCGAGAGCAGTATTTTTTTCTCTCTCTCTTGTTTAAAACAGGAGGGAGACCCAATAACAGTGTCCTTTCACATTAAAACTGCAATAAAAAAAACCCTATTCAGTAGATTGAGACGCTTCATAAAACTGCAGTGAGGCAGATAGTCTGGAAACTTTTGCTGTTCTTTCGTCGCCCTTGTCCCTCGCACTCCCTCCCTCTCACTCGGTCTCTTTCTCTCCTGTAATTTATCGGGAAATAGTTTCTCCTAGTCTCCCGGGTCGCTTGGCAACCGATATACAAAGGGAGAGGGGAGAGAGAGAAAAGAAGAGGGAGAGAGAAGCAAAGGCTATAATGGCCCGCCAATCCAAAGTGAGCGAAAAGTCCTGAGGTTGGAAATGCTCTATGATTTCCATGATCCAGGAAGGAGTTACTTTGACGGCATAGGGTGCACATTCTGTGGGATGGGGAAAGTGGAGTGGGGTGGGAGGGGGGATGGGGGGGGGACGCGGAAATACACTCGTTTTAGGTTGCAAAAGGACCCAGTAACGACCCCCACTCCCCAACCCAACCCCCACCCATCACCTTTGCTCCGTTTCACGCCATTTGTAGTGTGCCGAATCTCGTCCATTCAGTAGCCTGGCTGCCCACCCAAGTCTCAACCCCACCGCACCCCACCCCCACCCCCCCACTCCACCCATTCCCTCCTCCCAACATCCATCCCCTCTCCCCAACCTTAACCGTCTCCAAAGTTGATGGTAAAATCTTCATCTCCTAATTTCCTGCGATTGTGAGGGAACAAAACCAGCGAGTGAACGTGAGTGAGGTGCAGGGACACGGTTAGGTGGGAAATTGATGGGAAACTGCAACAACACACGGTAAACAGGCTAAACTGGAACGAGATTGTCGATATTGAATACATCCCTCTTCTTCTTATCTAACGTGAAATTACTCTTCCAGAAGTCCGTCTACTCTGTTTTCAAAAAAAAAGTCCTTTGTTCGTATTTTTTACAAGTACATTTCAAAACATTTTGACTTGAAAAGCGAAGCAAATGTCAGATTTGTTTCCATACAGCCTTACTGCCAGTGTAACCTTTTTAATATCTACAATATACGTTCTTTAACACATAGACCGGGAGCAAATCATTTCACGTTGAAAGCTGTATTAAATAGCAACAAATTTCATTTTTTAAACAAATCCCCGCACTTCAACTCCCAGGCGCCTCAGTGCAATTTTAATACTGGCAATATTCACAGCAGCAGTGAATGCTTGGTAGATCAAGAGGGTCTCTCTCTCTCTGTGTGTGTGTGTATGCATGTGTGTGTATCTGTGTGTGTTTCTGTGTGTATCTGTGTGTATATCTGTGTGTGCGTGTGTCTTTATGTGTACGTGTGTATATCTGTATATGTGTGTGTGTGTGTGTGTGTGTTTGTGTATATGTGTGTGTGTGTGTGTATATGTGTGTGTGTGTGTGTGTGTGTATGTGTGTGTGTGTGTGTATATGTGTGTGTGTGTGTGTGTGTGTTTGTGTATATGTGTGTGTGTGTGTGTATATGTGTGTGTGTGTGTGTATGTGTGTGTGTGTGTGTATATGTGTGTGTGTGTGTGTGTGTGTGTGTGTGTGTGTGTGTGTGTGTGT